GAGCTGGGCTTGTTCAGCCTGAAGAAGAGAAGGCTGCAAGGGGACCTTATAAATGCTTACAAATATCTGAAGGGTGGGTGTCAGGAGGATGGGGCCAAGCTCTGTTCAGTGGTGCCCAGCGACAGGACACGGGGCAATGGGCACAAACTGAAGCACAGGAAGTTCCGTCTGAACATGAGGAAGAACTTCTTCCCTCTGAGGGTGACGGAGCCCTGGCAAGGGCTGCCCAGGGAGGTTGTGGAGTCTCCTTCTCTGGAGATATTCAAGACCTGCCTGGACAAGGTCCTCTACAGCCTCCTGTAGGTGACCCTGCTTCGTCAGGGGGGTTGGACTAGATGACCCACAGAGGTCCCTTCCAACCCCTACCATTCTGTGATTCTGTGAAGGATCCAACCCCACTCATGATGATTGCCATCAGATGAGTTATTTCTTTGGCTTAGAAGCTCTGGTGCTTAGTTCAAACTCCTGCAATGATCTGCAAGGAAATTGCATCTTCACCCCACCCAGCAGTTTCTGTGAGATGAGGTTAGTGGTGGTGTATTGCACTGGGAGATATAACAGCATTTATTTATTTAAGAGTTTTTGTTCACATTTCTGAAAGCAAGCACAAGCATTTTCTAAGAAACTTTTTATTGCAGCATAGAGAATTGAAAGGTGAAGATTCCAGGAATATTTTCTGTAATTTTAATTCAGCCCCTTTGTGCATGTGCATTCTGATATATTTTTAACAATATGTCTTGCTTTTCTTTGCTGTAAGATTGCTGCTTTATTCATTCTGCAAATCAGACAATGATCAGTAAATGTGATGGCATTTCATTTTTTTTTAATCTTCTGCATTAGCATGTAGCTGTATATCTTTTTATGCACTTCCAAGTCCTGATTCAAGACAAGTTATTTCCTTCTGTGTTTTTCTACATACCATTACCATAGCATGAGTGATTACAGATGTTAATGCATTTGTTTCCATTTGAGGTGAAAATGCATGTATTTTGCAAGTGGGGGCACAATCACAGGTGAAGGCCTGCATTTTTTTTTATATCTGCAGTCATTCTGGAAGCCCCAGTGTTGTATGTCGTATCTGAGAAATGAAATATTTTCGTATCTAACATTTTGATACAGTTTTTTTAATCTGATAATCTCTGAAATGGCAGGCCTGTGGTTTTTTCTGCAGCCTTTAATTTAAGAACAACAGCAAAGTCCTTCTCTAAAACTTAAGACTATGCAGATTTTTAGATCTGGTACTTACCTTGTTATAGCTGTACACACTGAAAACAAAAGGTAATTAGAACCACTAGGCAGTCTTAATGTAGGTATGGCTACTGCTTTGCTTCACAATTTAAGTTAATCACTTTCTCTGTAACCTAAAAGCCATTAAAAATGCTTTCTTATGAATTGCTTCAGAAGAAGCTGTACGTCTTTAGCTGAGTCTTCATTCAGCTTTTTGTTTGCAGGTTAGTCTTTATTCAGCTTACTTGTTTCCTTGCTCTCTGCATTAGGAGCTTTACTAATGTTCTGGGAATGAGCATTTGCTAGTAAAGGCTGAGAGTTTTGAAAAGGCAAGACTTCACTGATTTGCCTCCTGTTCAGTGATCGTTTCTGCTTGGCTTTCAGATTTCTGCTCATTTAATTTTAAAAGCTTTTCACTGATCTGTAGTTGAAAGTATACATGGAACTTTGTTAGTAATGTTTCCTTCTGAAGTAAAGAATACTATTCATGAGCCTGTGGCTGAATCTTCATGTTAGTGTATTAAAAATGATTAGGAAAATCTCAGGTTAAGAAACGTTACCTGACTGCATTAATTGGTGGTTGAATTCTGAGTGTGGTTTGTGAAATAGAGTTAACGAAAGGTGTAGATAATTTGCTTTCTTGAGAGGTTTTTCTTTTTCCTAGGCTTCTCAGAAAGTGGGAGGATTTTTCTGTGGTTCCTAAGCTCTTTGATCCATAGAACTATGGATGCATAGCTTTTTTCTGTAAACCATTCTTGGTCTTAAAATCTTGTTTTCAGATGTACCACCATTTTTGCTTCTTTTGCTTGTGCTACGACCTAATATTTGAATGCCATTGGTTTTGCTGAAACACTGAACTGATGAAAGCAGTTTTTAGTATGCCCTATAGGTAACTGTTTCACTTGTTTACAACGTGACTAGTGATGCATGGTGATTGGCTACTTTGTCTTGTATATTTTGTTTTCATATTACGATTTGCAGACAAATTATTGATTCTTGTTCTCACAGGCAGTTGAACTACAAAACAGGTTATCTGAAGAATCCAAGAAAGCTGATAAATTAGATTATGAATGCAAACGACTGAAAGAAAAAGTAGACAGCCTCCAAAAAGAAAAAGATGTAAGTGCCAAGGTGGTTATTTTTTGATAGTAGTGATAGCAACTTTGTGTCCTTTGTAACACAGAGATATGGTAATCATAGTTAGCCATTTACAGCAAGCTTTTTAAATTAGGAAGTCTTTTCAGTTAAAATTTTCTAATGTTTGTGTACAAGACCTGTTTTAAAACAAAGAACTGTACAGTATGGAATAAAGTGACTGTACAAAAATATATGCAACACATTTTTAAGAGGAAAAGCCTTCATATTTGGGATCTGAAGCTATTTCTCGGCCATTTACCACGAGAAGGTTAATAAACACCCAGGGTAATTGTAATGTGTTCTGAAAAACTATTTAAAGTAGGGTTTCTGCAGCATCATCCTAGAACTAAGCTCCTGTTGCATTTTTTCTAAAGCATTCTTTGAGGTGCCATCAGCAGGTTTCTCTTTGTGGAGTCATTGACTGCTGCAGCAAGAGGCTTAGGAGTCTTGTAGAGGGACATGTCCTTTGTGGCGATCTCACCTTTTGTAACAGTTCCATGTTGATCTATCTTGTACTGCCAACATGGAACACACAGAATGAATACCAGTCTATTCCCTTCCTCTGTCATTCGTTGCTAGTGATTCAGCAATTAATTGTTCTGTTGTCTCTTGTCAAGACTGATCCTTCAGACTTCTCTTTCACAGTATTGTTTCTCACCAGTTTATTTCGGCTTGTCTCTTAGGAATGTATACATAGGTGCCTCAGACTACCTCAAACCAAGGCCAGCATGTCGAGTTAGTAGTTTCTTAGGTTTGTTTTTAGTGTAAGTCCATCTAGCCATCAGTCAGAATCTCTGTAGGCTCTTCCATCAATAGCCATATTTCCTGTCCCATGCTTTCCAAAAGCTCCAGACCCTGCACTTGAATAGCATTTGAGCTGAAAGTCTTCAGTTATTTTCTGTTCATAGGTCTTTGATTTCCATATTTTATTGAATTTTCAAACTACTGTGGACACTTGTCTTTGATATTGCTTCCGTCTGTCATTCAGTTCAGATTGGAATGCCCGTGCTGTATTTGTACTGTGCTTTGGCTTTCTTTCCTGCTCTTTATTTAAAGTTTATTTTTCCAGTTTTGTTATGTTTGACAATGGTAAGGTTGTGTCTGTGGCTTACCCATTGCTTGGTGGACCATTTCATTTTGCACAAAGGATCTGAATTGCAGGCCATTGTCATAGAGTTTTCTGTTTTACCCCCTGGCCAACAGCATTTTTTGGGGGCAGATATTGTTTTTCAATACATTCTTTTTAATGGATATGCATCTGTGAGAAGCAGATTACAGCTGAAATCTCTCAACATTTGAATTAGCGATTACCTGTTACCTAGTCTTTCTGTTCCTTATTGTCAGATACATATCAGTAACGTTGCCCACAACAGGTCACAAGCTACATAGCGGTATCTTGTCAGTTCTATTTTGGAAACAGTTACTGAGATTGATTTTGTCCTTGTCTTTATGTTATGGCAAAGTATGGTAGCTTGTTTGATATCTTCAGCTGTGTAGCTTGGAATTTTACCTCTGTTGTATTGTGTGATAAGTATTAAGATAATTTGATGAGCTGACTTTGTCTGCAGTGTACAAGTGAAGTCTTAGAGCTTTTTCTATTCATAAAAACGTTCTGGCATTTGATTAATCAACTTGGTGTTTTCTGACTGATGGTAGCAGACTGCAGAATCCTTGCTTTCAGAAGCCGAGTTCGAGCACTCCTATGTGTGGCACGTCCTCTATAGTATTTATGGTAAAACCAGTTTTTTCACCTCTGGGGTTTGTGAAATGACTTTCAGTGCTAACAGAATGTACACTTTATTCAGATTGTTTTGGCAGTTGTACCAGAGTTCATCTTGAGGATTCAGAAATACAGCAGAAGCCTCTGTCACACCTCACCAAAATGTTTTTTGCCAAAGTGATTCCAAGTCCTGGATCCATTTTAGGCTGAATATAAAATATATCTGAATCAAGCTGCTAGCAGGATGAAATAGCTGACACGACTCCATACCTACACAGAGCTAAGGTCTGTCCTGGACCTTTTAGTAATACTGGACATGCCTGATTCTGGAGCAAAATACAACTTGGATCTTTATATAGTTGCCATTTTCTCCTTTCATTTTTGAATCTTGGCAACCGTCTGGGCAAAAACTTGATGCTGCCTGTAGATTCTCATTTTTTGCCAAAAGGAGACTTGTGCCAAATTGGGAGAGTATTTGCTTGGTGCTGCTGAAGAGCGCATCTGTCTAGGTCCCAAGGTGGTCCAGTCGTGTTCTTCAGTTCTCTTTGGACTAAGCCTCAAACAACTCATTTTCTTCCATAGCTAAGATACTGGTGAATAGAAAGGCCAGTTGACAAACAGGAGGAAGGGAATATGGAAGTGATGCTCACACTGTCACTGTTGAAAGACAAGTGAAATGAAGTTAATGCAGTTGGTTTGTTTTGTTGACTCTGTACTCACCTGCTTTTTATTTCACTCCTGGCTAAACCGTAGTTTCTTGGTGAGGGAAAAGTCTACGGCCTCTTAATTCACTTCCCTTTCCCCTGGAGTCAGACCCAGTAAAGGGAAAAGGAGGATGGCTGAGTGGCCCCAGTGTATGCTGTTTACTACATGGTACCAGAACTTTGTGTCACTAATATTTTGCTTTTGTAAGCTTACACCCTGATATTTTTATCCCAGTAAGTGTAATACAGAGCAGCAACCCTTCTCAAAAAAGCACTGTTCACATGGAATATATAATATTTATGTTTATTCTGTTATGAAACAGACTGAGATGCCTTAATTTGAATATCATGTCTAGAGTTGCAGTGAATTCTTTATGAAGTGTTGAAGGCTGTGCCTTTTGGCAACTTGTGTACAGTTAAAGATGGATTCGTAGCGCCAAGACTAATATTCATTCTCTTTCCCATTATTCAGAGATTAAGAACAGAAAGGGATTCTTTGAAAGAAACTATTGAAGAACTTAGATGTGTACAAGCTCAGGAGGGTCAACTCACCACTACAGGTAAAGGAAAAATAAGGAGATTAAATGTTCTTTTCTTTAGCACAGAACAAATGTAAGCTCTTCCAAGATCAGCAGTGAAAAGCTGCTTGAGCTGTTCATAACTTTGTAAGCATTTGAAAACTCCAAATGTTATTTCAGTCAATCAGAAATTCTAGTGCCCTCCCCAGGGTAATTTTTTTGTAGTGTATTTCTAATTTCTGTGTAGTTACATAATTTTCTTTAGATAGACACGGTTTTCTCATGATGTTTCGTGTGTTGCAGTTTGTTTCTGCATGTAATGTTGCACAGCTTTGTAGTTCTTAGCTAAGCTAATGAGCAGAAAATACACCACAAAATTACTTAGTCAGAATGAAGACAAATGTAATGATTATTCTCTAAATGCAATTGTGCTTGTCAGTCTCTCTTGTTATAGTCAGACTTTGTCATTTTCCATTATTTAGCATTACCCTAAAAATGTAAACTTATAGAGAATGTTTACTTCTGGTCTTTTAAAGAAATTAAGTGGTCTGCTTGCTAAATTTTTTTACTTTTCCTAACCCAGGATTGATGCCTCTGGGAACACAAGAGCCTTCAGACAGTTTAGCAGCAGAAATCATTACTCCTGAAATAAAGTAAGCTAATGTGTGCATTGTTTTACTAACCTTTAGAATGTACCCATAGATAATTAGTCAGTTCTCAGTGTTAGAAAGTTTGTACAATTAATGTTGTTTTTTTCTCTCCTTTTGGATTTCTGCACAACAGGAGGTGTTATGCTTAAGACAAAAATAGTTGACCTCTCTTGAGTTTGTGTTGTGCTCCAAAAAAAGGGAAAACAAAAAAACCCCTTTGTCTTCACATTGTGTGTCTTCTTTTCCTGCAGAGAATTCAAGTAACTGCAGCTTATACGTGCATTAACAGACGCAAGTGTTTGTAACAAGAATGTGTTGTTACGGGGGAAGGAAGAGTGGATTATAGATTCCATTTTGTATCATGGCAAATGTTTACACTCTGTTAAAAGGAAGAAGAGCAGTGGCAGAGCTGAAAATCATTCTATCTGAAGATGTTACAGGCTGTGTTTAGCCTTGCCCATGCTGAGTCAGAGCTGCCGCTCATTGGCAACTCCCTCTTTCCCGCTCGAAGGGGGGGGGGCCCTTCATCTTCAGTGTCTTCCACATGGTGGGATGACTCAGACAACTGGATTGCTGCAATGGATGGCTGTGAACTCTTCAGAAGAGTCGCTTGGGAGGCAGTCCTGACAGGCAAAGCTGTCCAGGAAGGCTGGACATGCTTCAAGAAGAATCTTAAAGGTGCAGGAGCAGGCCGTCCCTGTGTGCCAGCAGGGAAAATATCTGGCGTGGCTGAACAGAGAGCTGTGGCTGTAACTAAGGAAAAAACAGAGTTTATGAACTTTGGAAGAGGGGCAAGCCACTCAGGAGGACTGCAAAGATGTCATGAGGTTATGCAAGGAGAAAATTAGAAGGGCCAGAGTTCAACTAGATCTTAATTTGGCTACTGCAGTTAAAGACAATAAAAAATGTTTCTATAAATACATTCACAACAAAAGGAGGGCTTAACAATCTCCATCCCTTATTGGATGCAGGAGAAGACATAGTGACAAAGGATGAGGAGAAAGCTGAGCTATTTAATACCTTCTTTGCCTCAGTCTTTAATACTAAGACTAGTTGCTTTCAGGGTACCCAGCTGCCTGAGCTGGAAGACAGGGACAGGGAGCGGAATGTGTCCCACATAATCCAAGCAGAAAACGTTAGCAACCTGCTATATCACTTAGACATACAGAAGTCTGTGTGACCAGATGTGATCCACCCAAGGGTACAGAGAGTTGGCTGTAGGGCTCACCTAGCCTCTTTCAATCGTTCATCTGTGGTCGTGGCTAACCAGAGAGGACCCGGTTAGCTGGAGGTTAGCAAATGTGATTCCCATCTACAAGAAGGGCCAGAAGGAGGATCCAGGGAACTACAGGCCTGTCAGTCTGACCTCGGTGCCGGGGAGGGTTATGGAGCAGATCATCTGGAGTGCTATCACGTGGCACACACAGGACAACCGGGTGATCAGGCCCAGTCAGCATGCCTTTATGAAAGGCAGGTCCTGCTTAACTAACCTTATCTCCTTCTATGACAAGGTGACCCATGTAGTGGAAGAGGGAAAGGCTGTGGATATTGTTTACCTGGACTTTAGTAAAGCCATTGACAACATTTCCTGCAGTATCGTCCTGGAGAAACTGGCTGCTCATGCTTGGACAAGCGTACTCTTAGCTGGGTAAAAAACTGGACAGCCGAGCCCAGAGAGTTGTGGTGAATGCAGTTAAATCCAGCTGGCAGCCAGTTGCAAGTGATCTTCCCTAGGGCTCAGTACTGGAGACAGTTCTTTTTAATGTCTTTATCAACAATTTGGATGAGGGGATCGAGTGCATCCTCAGTAAGTTTGCAAAGGACACCAAGTTGTGCAGGAGTGTTGATCTGCTTCAGGGTAGAAAGGCTCTACAGAGGAATCTGGACAGACTGAATCGATGGGCTAAGACCAATTGTATGAGATTCAGCAAGGCCAAGTGCTGGATCCTGCTCTTGGGTCACAACGACCCCATGCAGCGCTGCAGGCTTGGGGAGGAGTGGCTGGAAAGCTGTCCAGCAGAAAAAGACCTGCCATTGTTGGTCGACAGCCAGACGGATATGAGCCAGCACTGTGCCCAGGTGGCCAAGAAGGCAAACAGCATCCTGGCTTGTATCAGGAATAGTGTGGCCAGCAGGAGCAGGGAAGTGGTCGACCCCTGTACTTGGCACTGGTGAGGCCTCATGTCAAAAACTGTGTTTGGTTTGGGGACCCTCACTATAACAAAGACATTGAGGTGCTGGAGCATATCCAAAGAAGAGCAGTGAAGCTGGTGAAGGATCTAGAGCACAAGTGTTATGAAGAGCAGCTGAGGGAACTGGGTTGTTTATCCTGGAGAAAAAGAGGCTGAGAGGAGACCTTACTGCTTTCTACAGCTACCTGAGAGGAGGTTGTAGTGAGGTGGTGTTGGTCTCTTTTCCGAAGTACCAAGTGACAGGATGAGAGGAAATGTCCTCAAGTTGTGCTGGGGAGGTTTAGGTTGGATATTAGGAAAAATTTCTTCACCGAAAGGGTCATCAAGCACTGGAACAGGCTGCCTAGGGAAGTGGTTGAGTCGCCATCCCTGGAGATATTTCAGAGACCTGTAGATGTGGTGCCTAGCAACGTGGTTTTGTGGTGGACTTGGCAGCATTAGATTTGTGGTTGAGCTTGATGATCTTAAGGGATTTTTCCAACCTAAATGATTCTATGATTCTGTGAAAACAAACCAGCAAGGTAGAAGTGACTTGCCCAGCTTCATGCAGTAGTTCAGTGACAGCTGAGATTACAACCTTGCTTAACACTTGGCACCAAGCTTTGTATTCTCCACATGCTACCTAGAAATCTGTCCAGCTGTACTCTGAGATGTAATAGAGGCACTCAGGGAACTTGCTTGTTTTGTGCTTGCCACAACTACACCACCTTTACTCAAGTTTGTAGGTGGGGGTTTGAAGACACGATTGTTGTTTCGACTGTCTCCCTTAAGTAGGTAAAGATGATCTTTACATTATATTTACACCTCTTCTGGTAAACTGTTTTCTTCTTTATAGAGATTGGCATACTTTTTTCTACAAAAATGTATTTTACATGTTTAGGGAGAAACTCATTCGCCTTCAGCATGAGAACAAGATGTTAAAGTTGAACCAAGAAGGTTCTGACAATGAAAAGATCGCCTTGTTGCAGAGCCTTCTTGATGATGCAAACTTACGGAAGAATGAATTGGAGACAGAAAACAGGTAAGAAGTTTTGTCCTCTGTTTCAGTTGACTTATAACAATGCCATATACTTTTGACTGTACTGTGTCCAGTACTGGTGTCCCCAATACAAGAAAGACATGGACTTACTGGAATCAGTACAATCAAAGGCCACAAGGATGTGATTACAGGACTGCAGCATTTTTCACAGAAGGAGAGTCTGAGGGATAGAGACTGTGTAGCCTTGAAAAGAGAAGGCTCAGGGCGGATCTTATCAACGTTTATAAATATATGATGGGAGGGTCTAAAGGAGGTTGAGCTAGACTCTTCTCAGTGATGCCCAGTAACAGGGCAAGAGGCAGTGGGCGGAAGTTAAAACACATTGAATTTCATCTAGATGTAAGAACATACCTTTTTTTACTGGGAGGTTTGCTGAACACTGGAATACGTTGCCCAGAGAGGTTGTCTCAGTCCTTGGAGATATTTAAAACCCAACAGCACATGTTCCTGGGCAGCCTGCTCTAGCTGACCCTGCTAGATTAAGCCAGTCAGCATACAGACATCCATGGGACCAGGTAGCATGCATCTGAGCATGCTAAAGTAGCTGACTAATAATTGTTGTGGGGCTTCTTTCTTAAGCTTTGAATCTTCTCTATATCTAATCTTCTTCCCCAGCCACCCCCTTTGACTGGGGAAGGTTCCTGAAGCCTGGGAAAAGGTAAATACTGCACTCATCTTCAGGAAGGGCAAGAAAGAGAGTCCAGAGAACCACAGAGACTGGTCAGTCACAGCTCATTGTCTGGGAGTTTCACAAAGCAAGTCCATTTGGAATCTGTTTCCAGCCACATGAGGCACAAGAAAGTAACTAGGAAAGGCCAACATTAATTTATTCAGAGCAAGTCATACCTAAGTAATCCAGTTGTTTTTGATGATGAGATGACTGCCTATGTGAAGAAGGATGAAACAGTGGATAGTGCTTACCTTAACTTTAGCAAAGCCTTTGCCACAGTGTTCCATAGTATCCTTATGTTCAGAATGGTTAGGTACAGACTGAATAAGTGGACAAGAAAGGTGAGTGGAAAGTGGGTTGGACAGCTGGGCCTGAAGCGTTATCGTCAGTGGTACAAATTCCAACTGGCAACCAGTTCCTCAGGCGTCAATACCGATGTGTTTATCACCTTTATTAACAGCTTGACTGGTGGGAGGGACTATACTCTCAGCAAGTTTGAGTATGGTACCGCACTGGGAGGAGTGATTGATGTGCTGGAAGGGAAAGCTGTTATTCAGAGGGGCTCATCAGTCCACAGAAGTGAGCTGATGGGAGCCCTGTCCTTGGCTGGGAGGAGCCTGGCAATGCTGGCTGGGACCAGTAGGCTGGGGAGCAGCTCTTCTGCAAAAGCCCTGGGGTCCCAGTAGGCAGCAAAGACGGGTGTGTCAGCTGGGGACCTTGCAGATGACTGTGACCTGGACTGTCCTCACTGGGGTACAGGCAGGCAGTCTGGGAAAATGATCCTTACCTCTCATCAGTACTTACGAGATCCACTCTGGACATAGCATATAATTTTGAATTTCTCAGTACAAGAAAGACATGGATGTACAGGAGTGCAGCAGACTCCCTAAGGTGAGGGATGCTGGAGCACGTGAAATGTGCGGTAAGACTGAGAACTGGGTTTGTTCAGGCCAAAGAAAAGGTGACATAGAGGAGACAATATGTGATCTACACCTGCCTGATGGAACGGTGTCAAGAAGACAGAGATGAGACAGTGGAAGTATAAGAGGCAACAGACATAATATGGAGTATGGGGAAATTCTGACTAAAGACAAGGAAGAAAACATTCCCAGAAGAAATTTCTGACCTCTAGAAGAGAGACCCAAAGATATTGTCAGACTTCCGTCCTTAAAGGTGTCCAGACGGTATAAAACCAGTAAGCTAGTAGCTCTCACACAGTAAAACTGTTAGATACTCTTGTTTCAGGTATATAGAAATGATTTCTTAATACATGCATTTATGTTGTCTTGGAAGAGTATCATAATGTTCTGATGACTACAGGCCATAATCTCTGGAACAGCTGTATGCTCTAACTATTGTAAATTTTCTATGAATAAAATAGAATGTTGCATCTCATGTGTAGATGACGTGAAAACACTGGACACTAAAAATCTCAGACTTCCTACTGGAGTTTTGTTTTTTTCTGAAAAACAGTATAATCTCTTTCCTAGATTGGTAAATCAGAGACTTCTAGAAGTGCAGTCCCAGGTTGAAGAACTACAAAAATCTTTGCAGGATCAAGGTTCAAAAGCTGAAGATGTAAGTAGAAATGTACAGCAGACTTATATGGAAGTTGTTACCCTTTTCAAAACTTTCAACTTTTTGTAAAAAAATATGTAAAAGAAATACACAAGTGGAGATTTCTGATAGTTTTCCGTATTTACTCATATGGTCTTATCACTAAAATTGTGCATCTGTAAACAGGATGTAAGACGTAGTAAGACATTTGTGTAGAAAAGAAAATCATCCTGTGTAGAGGAGGTGTCAGATATGTTCTATTTGATTAATTGTGTCTGTTCCAGTAGTAAACTTAGTGTTTAAATTATTGAATCAGAATAGAGAGTTTTGCAGGGAATTAAAGGACTAATAATTCTTCATGTCAATAAAGTATCTGAAGTTATTTTTTGTTTAGTTTTCTGAATGAAAGCTAAGGCCTTTCCTGCCAGTGGAAGCTCTGTAATTGTGGATTCAAATGTATCTTCGTAATATAAGAAGCCAGCCAGAACAAAACTGAAGAAAAAAGTCAAATAATTAGGCCCGTAATGTAATGCAGCATTTTCTGTTTCTGTATGCGGGGTTAATTTTATTTTTAATGTAAGAATACACATTGTGACAGAGTTAGTGTGGAAAACAACTTTCAGTCTTCCACTCAAAAATTGTTTGCTATCTCCTGCATTTGAGAGAAAAAGCTCTAGAACTTTCTTGAAAGCAGTGATTTGCAGGACTGTACATGCACAGTGTGTGCTACAATCTCAGTGTATTGTGTTGCTTTGTTTTTGTGGGTTTGTTTTAACTGATTTATATAAAACAGTAGAAGTATTTACTAGCTGTTTATTTTCATTTAAGAATGTGTTTAATTTAGCTTATCCTTTTAATTTTCAGAATAAACTGTGTGAAAGTAAACCACATAGTCGGGTTTAAATAAGATTATTTTCCTAAGTAACTTAGAATGCATTTTAGAATACATTTTAAAGCAAGTCCATGCTATTATGTGATTCTGAGATACTCTTTGTTGTCTTGATTATTGGCCAAAATCAGATTTTACAGGGTGAAAAAGAATATGAAAAAATTATTCTCGGATATGGAGTATTGTAAATGAACCCTGTCTAACTGAATTCAGCTTTATTTACTGAAATTTTTTATTTCGTCTCTTTTTGAGGGTCTGGTTTGGACAGTAATTTAGGACATGTCTGCAGCTCAGTTACAGGACTGGTTGCAGCCTGTGTAGGCATCATCTGAGGTGCTTCTGTTAACAGCAGAACACCACCGTCACAACACCATGGTACAGCCTACTGTGTGTATCCGGCAGTCCTTGTCAAAGCGGAGCTTGCAAGTTCATGGTGCAGTTGCTGCATTTCATGGCTTCTGTGTAGGTCTGGCCATGCTGGTGGTGATTTATAGGCACTGGTCTCATGGCTTGTTTTGCTGAGTTCGGTGTGTAGGACTTTGTTTACTCTTAAAGAAGCAAAAGAGAGAGTGTAGACTCAAGAGTGTTGAGGCTGCAAGAATCTCTGAAAGTGTGGACGTCTCATCCAATCTCCAATGCAAAGCAGAGCAAACCTCAGTTAAACCCGGCTGCTCAAGTAGATGGAAGTTGTGTTGGGACCATCTGAGTTGTCCTTAAGATATCCGTACAAAAAGAGGGATTCTTCAGAAGCATAATAAAAAGAATAAGGAGAGACATGGCATACAGTTCACCAATGCATCATTTTTAACATGTTTGCTCTGTTTTTCACTACTTTTCTGCAGCAATGCACTGGAATCCATATTTTTGCATATTTTGCTGTAAATATGCTCAACCCAGAAAACTGAAGATCCCATTCCATTTGTGTTCAGTCCACAAATGTATGATGAGGGCTTGATTGGGGTTTTTTTTGTTTTGTTTGTTTTCGAAGTTGAGGCAATTTTTAGGCTTACTCCAAAAGTAGTAAAAGCACTATCCTAACCCAGACAAGTATCATTGCAATGATACGTGCTGCTTGCCGAGGTCCACATGGGGAAGCAGTTTTGATTTCATATGGAAGTGCAGTGGAAGGCATGGGATGTTAGGAAGATCCTAACAGTGCCATTAGGCTTGTAACAGGCACTGACACATCCTGTTGGGATGCATGATGAGTCCATCCTGGCTGTTGCCTTGCTAGCCACGGGAAGGCCTGCTTATCCCAGTCCAGACTACAGGATCAACTCAGACATGCCTAGTGTGGTCAGAGTACCAGGTTTGATTTATTGTCCTCCAGAATGCAATGGTCATGTGTAGAACTGCTCAGCACCTACCCTGAACACCTTTGACTGCATAATTTGCATGCCTTATTATCACTCTCTTTTGTCATCCTTGTTGTCCCTTCGTCTGCCGTAATCCCTTCCTATAAAAACAACCTGCCTGTAGTTACTTCTACTCCACTGGACCTAGTCTTGCTAAATACATACCAAATCTGACATTTCTCATACGGTTACATACGCAATCTTGGCCTGATGTGCTGTCACTGATATAGTTACTAAGTCCTCCTGACTTGGCACCTCCCTAAAGGGTCCCCAGAACTCTGTTATCTGTTCAGTTACCTGTGAAGTTCAGCCTTTTGCTCATTTGGTGAAACACAGGAATAGGTTGCCCAGAGAGGTGGTGGATACCCAGTCCCTGGAAGCATTGAAGGTCAGATTGGACGGGGCTCTGAGCAACCTGATCAAGTTGAAGATGTCCCTGCTCACTGCAGGAGGGTTGGACTAGACGATCTTCGAAGGTCCCTTCCAACCCAAGCTATTCTGTGATTCTATGATTACTCTTAGTGTTTGTGAAATCTGACCATCCCTCATGGTGCTATTTATAACTTTTGTCATCTTCTCACAGCATTACCAGTCTCTTCAAGCAAGTTTCTCAAGTCACGTGCCATAGTTTCCCTCACCCTGCTAAGTGAGCTTAACCTCCAGCCAGAACCTAGCCATCTGACTGTGGCCTTAACGTGCAGAATAAAACCAAACTTTGTCCTCAAAAAGGGGACAGACCTGCTCCTTTGACTTGTTTATGCATGAAAGAAATTTCCAGCAAAAAGAGTTTATTTCTGTAGGCTTTTTGATGTAAAAGAAAGATAGCAATGAAATACTGGGGAGGATACCTGTTTTCTAAACCCACACCATAATAAGTATATTTTCCTGGTGTTTTCGAAGTGGAACTTGTTAGCAGTGAAGGAAAAAGCAATACAGTGAGTGTGCATTTGCTGATTTTTACAGTCTTGTTGTAGAAATGTTCTTCTGTTGGGAACAGATAAAATGTTTGAATGAAATTAAGTCTAAAACTAGGTCAAAATTAGATAAAGCTGTTTTTTTTCCGTTGGGATTTTTTCTGAGAGACTGGTCTTCCTACGAGAAAACAACAATTATAGTAAAAACTTGTTAGGAGCAGAGAATTTGGATATGTGGCTTTGAAGCTGCCCAAGACTTCAAAAAAAAGATAGTAGCGTTTGCCCATTTTTAAGAGTAATACATTTAAAGTTATCTGCCTTCTTACAAGTATATACAGGATCTTTGCATGGCTAAAATTGCACACTTTACCTTTTATCCTTTTTTCTAGTCTTCTGTCTTGGGTAAATTACTCTGGGTAAACTCAGTCCAGCTGCTTTTAATTGTGTGTGCCATTTATCATTGTTAATTTCTTGCTTGTGAGAACATAGGATCTGTCTAGATGGGAGAGCGGTTACGCCCACAATAATGCTGGCACTATGCGAATAATATATACGAAAATATGCCAGTGGAATCAATGTTGACAAGTAGTTGTGTCTGTTCCAAGCTAAACCCAAGTGCAATATAAGGATTTGAATAGAAAAGTTGAGTTCAGTTTTTGTTTTCTTACCTTAGAAAAAAGAGCACTGATGCCAACTTTCCTCTGTCTTATCCAAAGCAACCAATAGTCCCCTAAATGGTCGCACATAAGTGATGGTGCCAGTTCAAATGCTTTGTGACCAAGAAAGATGCATACAAACATTTATTGTTATGGAAAAGGTGGTGTTGCTGCAGTTGTTTAGAGGACTGGAAAAGAAAAAAGTCAAAAGGTCAAAACCTTAGCTGCTACAAATTTCTGACTCTAAAGTCAGTAGAGCCATGCTGGCTTGTTTTAACAGGTGCAATAAGGAAATCCAACTTTGAAATCGTGAGAAACCATGTTCCAGGAGTGTGATCACAGACAATATTTTGAAGTATTTACACTGTAACAAAGCTAAAAGTTTTTTGCAGTGAACGCAGTAATTGTCTCTGTTGGCCAGGTGTCTAAACCTTTGTTGAAAAGCCATTGGAGGAAAAGCAATGGAGTAATTTTGTTGGTTTTATCTTACATTTTGATGGCATTGTGGACCGTGAGTCACATGCTAGACCTCCAATGTGATTGGTGCTGGATAAATACAAACCAAAAAGGCAGTTTCTGATATAAATATTGTACGTTTGTCTTGTACTCAGTCAGTGTGGCAGTAACACAATTTAGAATCACACCACAAAAACACATACATCTCTTAATTTTGGTCGTAGCCCAATAGGCTGCATATTTTCTCCTGTTTTGTTACTTGTATGATTTTTGTTCTACAATGACTTTCCAAACCAGCAGTTGCTCTTCTTTTGAATTTCTGGTTTAAATGCAATGATTTACAAGTGCTTCTTTAGTATTTTTATTTTTTTATTTTTAGTGGTAATTTTTAGAAGATGTTGCAGGATGAAACTGCTGGTGAGAACAGAGGAGAGAAATGTGCATGCGTAAAAAAAAAATGCATAGCTTTAACTTTTTATGTTCATGACTTTCTAAATAGTTTCTTCTGTTGGCTGCTGTTTTGCTTTATACTAATGTCATCTCTGTTTCTTGGCATGGGCTTCTGCTCAAGGCTATTGTGAGTATGGCTTTCTATTTACTTAACACTACTTTCAGTTTATAGACGTTCATTGAGTTTATCTTTTTGAAAGATACTCACTGTGTATGAAGTGAGTTTAAAATTAAAATAAAATTTACTTTCAAGCTTTTATTGAAAGAGCTTATGTAATGTGATTTAACCAGAAAGTGGAACACTGTAAGTTGTATGATATTTTTTATGTGTCTGTAATCAATAATGAGGAGAAACAGAAAAAGGGTAAAATTTCTGCTAGACTCCAGTCAGAAACAGTCTACTCTTTCTAGATACTGTGAGGACAGGAATTTACTTGAACTAATTTGCTACTTGTCTTCATGCAAATTGCATTGCAATATTGGCAGGGCAGCTTGTGTAGCAAATTTTGCTGCACTTTCCAATTTTAGATTAATTTATTAAGTCAAATTACAAAAGTACTGAATAAATTAAAACAACTGCCATAGAATTTTGTCATTTATGGATCTGTTTTTATTGATCTAGTTCCTGGGAAAATATTTGTAAAGTTATAAAGCACTCATTTCAGGAAAGTCACACAGCTGTGGGGGGAAGGGTTGCTACCACAGAGGATGGCTTTACAGTTTGATCTAAAAATGAGTGAAGTAAAAAGTTGGATTTTGGTTAAAATGTCAAAATTATATGTTTTAAAATAATTTTGAAATTATTTTAAAGCTCAAAAATGTATTTAAGTAAAACATTTAAACTTTCTATTTTAGTCAATTCTTCTGAAAAAGAAACTTGAAGAACATCTGTAAGTGTTTTGTTTGCCTATTTTGCTTGCCATTTGAAATGTGTTTTCCATATGATGAGGAAGGCAGACAGTCATTAATCACACATCTTGAAAATATACAAGAGAAATTAGATAACGCAGGAATGTTTGGGAATCTGCTGTACAGATAATATTTTCATCTCATAGAAAACGTATGTGAAAGCAAGAAGAGTGATAAAGGAATCATGATTTTGTGGTGGTTAGAAAACTTTACTTAACATTGTGTAAATTTTTACTCAAGAAGAGTAAGTAATTTTGTCATGAGGAAAAGCATGTTAGTGTAAACAAAATTAATTTGTTTATTTTTTTGGTAACATTTTAAGAAGTGTTATCATTTTGTTCTGCTATTTCTGCACCCCTTTACTTCCCTGAAATGCAAAGAGCTGTTTGCTTGTTGACTGACTTGCAAAAAAAAAAAAAAAGTAGTTTCTATTGCCTTTGGTTTTAGCTGTTCTTTCTCAGTGTAATCTCAATTACAAGTATTCATTTTAGGCATGCATATGTTCTAAATTAAGTTTATAATTACTGAAAATGAAGCTATTTATTGCAGTTCTTTATACACCGTAATGTTTTTCAGCTTACTTAGCAAATATTTCCACAATGACATTGTCATTTGTCTTCATGCCTCACAGCAAAAATCAGTCAGGTTCTCAGAAATGCATCTCTGAGGATTTTTTGTATTGCTTAGTGTTCATTCAAGCCCAGTAATAATACTGGGAAAACAATATGTGCTTTTATGGTTTGTAACAGTGAGAAGCTCCATGAAGCTAACAATGAGCTGCAGAAAAAACGAGCCATTATTGAAGATTTGGAACCAAGATGCAATAATAGTTGTGAGTTACCTGTGCAGTCCATTTCTTCTCTTTGTAAAGTATTTCATGTGCAAGGTCTTTTATTACAATACCTATAGCAGATGCAAGATGAACAATATGTACATTTTAAATGGCAGTGATATGCATGTTGTTAATTTCTCTGGAAGCTGTGGTGACCAAAAACATGCTTCTAACACTTGAAATTCAGGGGATCACATTTCAGAGACCACTGTAGTAAAGAAATTACAATGGCCATAGAAATTCTGACTCTTTGTCATACCTGTCACTGAAGCTCAGCTGTTCAGAGCTGTTATGTCTTCTAAGACCCTAATTTAGGAGATCCTTGCTGCCATCACCAGGTGATTTTTACTCCCAACATATATTCATTTAGTGTGTTTTCAGAACTGTGTTGTAATTTGAGAAAGTTTTCGGACACTGGTCGAAGAGAATGTAGTATGTGTGTCGTATTGCTCGAATGGTACCCAGAACCCACCATCCAGTTGTTTTCAGTGCATTAATACTACTTTTTCCTGAGAAGTACTGAAGGAGGTAGATTGGGTTTTTTTAAGGCCTACTTATTATAGAACAAGGTAAAAGATTGCAACCAATGGCAGCTTTTCTGGTTTGTGACAAAGTGATTTTATTCATAAAGAGATCAAGGAAGATAGAAATGTCATTTCAGTATTCATTACATATATTCTGTATCCGAAAAAAAAATTTCTTTTGTGTTGAGCTAAAACTGCAGAATATGTTACAAATTCCACATCTCTGGAAATGATAGAACACTTGGAAATGAAGTTCAGGGACTTCATGGGTAGCTGATAAAGACATAATGCTGTTGTACTTGATAAGCTTCAGTGCGAGTGTAATAGCAGTTTTCTGACTCGCTAGCTTCTAAACATTAGGGCATACTGAGGCTTCTGTAGTTAGTTTACTGAAATTACAAGTTGCTTTTTAAAAAATCTAGGTCTGAAGTTCTGTCTTGGTAAAATAAAAGTAGATGTACCTTCTTCCTTTCTTTCCACGCTTAGGAAATGTGTATGAATTATTTTTTCAGATTCTTTTAACTGTCCTGGATGTGTCCAAAATGCTTTGGCATTGTACAAGAATCATGGCACATTTTGAAAAATGAATTCTTGCCATCTTGGAGACCGTCTGCTATTGGTCCTCTCACTGGTCAATGAAAATCTTACTTGGTTCTGTCACCAGCTTAGTGTTTTGCAAGTGCTTAGGGAGAAAGCTGTAGGAAAAACATGAAAAAAACATTTCAGAATGAGGCTGCAAAACAGATGGAGTGAGGGTTGCCAATTATCTAACATTGTCCAACAACCAGATGTCAATGTTACATGCTATTTGATCCAGGATGATGCACTTGATTTTCTCTTTTCCTGAGATTGAAGAGGAAGTACAGAAGATTTCTAAGTGATAGTGACTTAACATACTCTTGTATTAGTACAGGAAAGGGCTGTGCAATGAGATTGTCCTACTGGTCTGCATTGCTGCTTAAGAAAATGGGGGGGAAGATTAAATTGAGTAGATTCATGTCACAAGTCTGATAAATTGTTTCCAGTGTTAGAGTTTAGTAGATTTAAGCAAGAGTTGTCTGTTAAGAATTATTCCTCTTACATAAAATACGAAAACTCATATTTATCTGACTTACCAATACCGAGATATTATGGTAATTCATTAGAGAATGCGTTTTCCAAGTATGTTCAGTAATGGGATTGATTTATGATTCCATTTATCTCTATTTTCTCATAATTTAAAAAAAAATTAATAACTTGTGTACAAAATACCCACCTCATGAGATTATATAGGAGTACACATTTTTAATGTGTTCCTGAGCTGTTCAGTAGTTAAAACTATGATATCTGCTACATCAGGTCACTTATATTAACTTTTCTCAACTGAAATAAATTATAGCTGTGCCTTAAATGTCTGTTGAAAAACATGAAAATAAACACAATATAATTATGTTATTTTCCAATGTATGCATCTCCTGACACATAGCACTCAAAATTGAAGAATTACAAGAAGCTTTACGGAAAAAGGAGGAGGAAATGAAGCAAATGGAAGAGCGATACAAGAAGTATTTGGAAAAGGCCAAAAGTGTAAGTACGTGTGTTCCATGTTAACGATCGCTCTCTGACAGACTGCACCACATGTCTGCTTTGAAGGAATAAAAATAAAGGATGTATCTGTATACATACTAGCAAGTAAAAGAGAAGGAAGGCCCAAGGAGTTCCTTGTATCTTCTTGCTGTTACGGTACTAATACTGATTAATTCTGCAGAAGATTTTACTCTGGTTTTGTGTTCATGATTGTCCTCTTTTGCTACCTGTCCATAAGACCTTCTAATGCCTCTGTACAAATGTATACCCACTGCTAGAGATTTTTGAGAGTTGCCCAGGCAAACCTTATTAGGCATGCTTTCATGTCTGCTGATGACACGGAGAGGGTTTTAAACCCTTTCTAATGCTGTGATAACCTATTTCTTTGTGGAAGTTCTTCCGGACTTGTGTCTCCAAGTGACAAATGTATAGATCGGCTGAAGAGGTGTCCATACTACGGCTCGTGGTGTAGAAATAACCGAAATAGCTGTGCTGTATTGCAGAACTGGAGAACCACCCATCTAAATCAACTCAAGGGAAGGAGGCTCTGTGAGCAAAAGTACTCTTTAATTGGCAGTTGTGCTGTGGCTTTTGGGGACTTGTGGCATAGTTGTCATGAAGAGTTCTACCTCTTTGTACACACAAATATAGCTTAGTAACGCCAGGTACAGACATGGTTGCACCAACAAACTTTGGGTTTATTGGTTTAGCAGAGAGGGGAGAGGAAGTTTTGGGTTCTTTCCTTCACTGATGGCTGGATCTGTTTATGTGTGTTTCTGGGTAGTGTGAATGGTGTAGTCTTGTTGTGGTGCTCAGTCAATAATGTCTGTCTTACCTGGAGCAGATAATTTGGTACACTTACATCAGTATAGCTTTTAGCTACTTCAGATTTCATCAGGTCCTAATTGCTCCCATGAATTGCTTATTCTTTTTGCGGGGCTCAGAATTCACAGGCAGAGGTAATGACACGTGTCAGAGCCACCTTTACCAGTTTAGATTTGGTTTAGTTTTCTTTGTTCATCTTCTGCCCCAGATTTCTAGTGATTTTCTGGGTTAGCTAGCTAGTTTAGAAACAGTTTTAGTATGGACTCTTTTATTGATATTTTTCCAAGTAAAGTGATCTTTTTAACTGAACTGCTTTGGTGGGTTAACCCCAGCTGGATGCCAGGTGCCCACCGAAGCTTCTCTATCACTCCACTCCTCAACTAGACAGGGGAGAGAAAATATAATGAAAAGCTTGTGCGTCAGGAGAAGGAGAGGGAGAGGTCACTCACCCATTACTATCATGGGCAAAACAGATGCGACTTGGGGAAATTTGTTTAATTTATCACCAATCAAATCAAGTAGGGTAATGAGAAATAAAACCAAATCTTAAAAACACCTTCCCCCCACCCCTCCCTTCTTCCTGAGCTCAATTTTAGTTCCAATTTTCTCTCACTCCTTTCCCCAAGCAGCTCAGGGGGATGAGGAATGGGGGTTGCTGTCAGTTCATCACGCGTTGTCTCTGCCGCTCCTTCATCCTCAGGGGAGGACTCCTCACACTCTGCCCCTGCTCTAGCATGAGGTCCTTCCCACAGGAGACAGTCCTCCATTAATTTCTCCAATGAGAGTCCTTCCCATATACTGCAGTTCTTCACGAACTGCTCCAGCATGTGTCCCCCCTGGGGTCACAAGTCCTGCCAGCAAACCTGCTCCAGTGTGGGCTCGTCTCTCCATGGGTCTGCATATCCTGCCAGGAGCCTGCTCCAGCATGGGCTTTCCACAGGGTCACAGACTCCTTCAGGCCCACCTACCTGCTCTGGCGTGGGGCTGTCCATGGGCTGCAGATGGATATCTGCTCCACCATGGACCTCCATGGGCTGCAGGGGGACAACCTGCCTCGCCATAGTCATCTCCATGAGCTGCAGGGGAACCTCCACTCCAGTGCCTGGAACACCTCTTTCACCTCCTTTTTCACTGACCTGGGCGTCTGGCAGAGTTGTTTCTCTCACTTATTCTTACTCCTCTCTGTCACAGTTTAACCCGGCAGCTGGCAAATAAGCACCAGACAGCTGCTCGCTCACCCCTCGCCTTTCCCCCCAGCGGGATGGAGAGGAGAAATGAACAAAAGGGAGAACTTTTAGGTTGAGATAATAAGGCAACAACGGAAATGCTAATAATACTACCACTACTACTAATACTAATGGTAATGATAATAACGATAACAACGAGTATGCAAAATGAACTATATACAATACAATTTTTCTCACCACCTGACGACCAATTCACAGCCCAGAAAGAAGTTTGAACTCCTGGCCAAGAGAGGATTCAAAACTCCTGGAAAAGCCAAAGAGCCAATCTCCCTCTTTGCCCTTGGCCAGCCCCCATTCATAAACTGAGCATAATGTCTGTGCTATGGAATATTTCCATTGTCCAGCTTGAGCTGGCTGCCTGGCTATGCTCCCTCCTAGCTGCTGCACAGCTGCTCATTAGCTGAACATGAGAAACTGAAGAAAGGTCCTTGATTTCATAGCAACAACTGAAAGTATCAGTGTTCTCAACATTCTTCTTTTAAATCCAAAATGCAGCAGCTACTGAGAGGAAAATTAGCTCTATCCCAGAGAAAACCAGGATGCTTTCTCAGGCTGCGGTTGTAGTGCAGCAAGTTTTTTTTTTTCCCGATCTTAAATATGTTGTCCCAGAGGCGCTACCACCGCCACTGATGAGCTCAGCCTTGGCCAGCAGCGGGTCTGGCTTGGAGCTGGCTGGCATTGCTGCTGTCAGACATAGGGGAATCTTCTCGCAGCTTCTTACAGAAGCCACCCCTGTAGCCCACCCACTACCAAAACCTTGCCACGCAAACCTAGTACAACCACCTTTGAAAGCCGTTAGCATTTCTCTGGTGGTGTTCAGCATTTTCTTTGGCTTTATTGTTTAATACATGCTTCCGTTGAGAAGGTGGCTAATATTCAAGTATGATATTGAGGATGTGGGTATACTGGCAGCTTTGAAATGCCAATATTGTAGTCTCAATCATAGTTTCATTTCTTCTGTTACTATAGCTTGATATTTTATTTGAGTTTCTTAAAAGTATACCAGTGTCTCCATTCATCTGATCACGGTAGTATCAAGATCTTTGCTGTAGCTTCATATCATTAAATTGGAATCTGTGGGTAGGTTCCTAATTAGGCAAAACTTCATACTTCCTTCCTTTACTTCTATGTAGTTTCTTCAGTGACATATTGTGAGACGTTTCAGCAGTCTTCAGGAAACCTAAACAAAGAATTTATTTTTTTTTAACATTTTAAATTGCTGACTGTGTCTTGGAGTATTCCAGTGAAAGACAGAGTCACAATTTCCCTTTTCAGTAACATTTGTTTATTTGTATATACTGTGTTACTATAGGGTGTTTTATACAACAGTAGCATTAATTATTTTAGTTAGGATAGCTTTTTGTGATCTTCTTACAAATTTTCCATTTTGTGGTTTTTTTTTTTGTGAAGACGAATACGATCGTTGTAGCCTTCCACTGTAGAAACTGTATCCAGGTCTAATGTGTATTTTCTTAGAAACATAGTACAGTTTTATGAATCTTCATGAGTACCATTCAGTAAAAATGACTTGCTAGAATTTAAAACATTGATTAATTTCAACATGTGGACACGATTCTGAAATGGGTAGAAAGACAAAGATGTGAAGTCTCTTTCTGTATACCCAGAGGTTGTTCAAAAGTTCTAAGCCATTTTCCATTAAAGGCTTAGGAATCTAGGCATTTTGCTAGATTTGTTCTTGATTCAGTTCTGTGTTTACTAGCACTTGTGCTACTTGTGATGGATGCTATGTATGAACATAACTAGGTGTCCCTTCATCTGAGTAGTAACATAAAGATCATGCATGTGCCACAGAATGCTTCTTGGCTTAACAGAGCTATCTAGAAATGACAGGACTTGGTACTCCAGGTAGGTGAATCATGGCATCTTTCCATAAGGACCAGAATGGTCCTTCCTCAAGTGGGAGGAATTGACGGGTAGGTAAACCTTAGCTATAAAGAGAGAAACCATCGAGAAAATGCTTCTGCCAGTGTGGCCCCAAGGTAGCGCAGCCAGGAGTAGGAACTGTGTATGTGACTCTGGGATACTGAACCACTCAGGTGTCACTTTTTCCTGTCGATAGTTTTGTTTCACCGTCCTGTAAAATAGAGCCCAGTTCAGATGCTCTGACGTAGCATGGCTGATGTTCAGAGGCAGAGCCTCTTGTCATGCTGGCTGTCAAGATCGGTTTACAGAAGTCAGCGTCTTAAAACTGCCCATTCCTCTGCTTCGCATTTTGGAGTGTTATTTCTTACCACTGAGATGTTTTAAGTCACTTTTTTATTTCTTAACCTGACGTAAAAGGTTGTAATTCCTTGATGTCTTTCCCTTCAATTAAATTGCTTTTGCAGGTTTTAATTAAAAAACAAACATTTTCTCTTACAGGTTATCCGCACCTTAGATCCTAAGCAGAACCAGGGTGCAGCTCCTGAGATTCAGGCTCTGAAAAATCAGTTGCAGGAGCGGGACAGGATGTTTCATTCGTTGGAGGTAATAATCCTCATGTTTCCTGGAAGATTCATATTTCCTCACTGTTTTTTAGGTAGAGACTAATCCATTTATTATACTTTGGTTTTAAATGTATGCTTTTTTGATGTTTGTTTTGTAGAAAGAATATGAAAAAACGAAAAGTCAAAGAGAAATGGAGGAGAAATTTATTGTTAGTGCCTGGTACAATATGGTAAGAATCTCCCAAACTTTTTGGTAAAAAAAACAGCCAGGGAAAGAAACTATTAATATTAGTTGTTTCTGGGTTGTTTATAACAGTATTCATTCATTTACAGGTTTTTTGTTTGGAAGGTATTTTCCAACACACAGACACAGAAACAAACGCTTTTTAATAATTTTAAGCGGTCACTGTAGAGTGATATTAGTATGTAGAGTGATATTAGTATGTTCCTATGATAACCTTGAGGTAAATGGATAAGAACTTGTTTGTAATTTTCAAGTTTTAAAACCAGAAATGGCACTTTCTAGAGGGAAAAACACCTCAGATTACTATTCTGTAATTCCAGCCCTATAGTTATACTGACCTACAGTGCTCAAATTTACTTTCTGCTTTGATTCTACACTCTCCAGTCTTCCAGTTGTTTCTGATGAATGGGCTTAAGAAACGCAATACAGCTTACTTGCTGCAGTAAGTGCTCTGAGAAATGACCCCTTTATCCTGGGTGGAAGTTTAACCCAATGGAAAGGGTGAGCACAAGGGCGAGACCCTCACTTAAGTTATTCAAACAGTAAGGAACTGATCTGAGCAGCCATACAGCTTTTGCTAGGCCTGTATGCTGTGAGATTTTTCACCTTTGTCAAATGTGTTCAAGACTTCTCTTTGCCAGTGTGGCTGGATTGGAACTGCTCTTCAGATAGAAAGAATCCCTGACCTGTGTAACATTCATGTTTCATTGTGCTTCATCATGGAGTTCAAATTCCTCTCTCTGTCTTCCCTTGGATAAGTTTCCTTCTTACTGTTCTACATTCTTGTTATGTCTATGAATAGTAAGCCAAAAATGGTTGGTCCCACTGAGAAGCAGAAGGCAAGCCTGAGCTAAGAGCTGTGTTTCAACAGCCTGTTGTGAACACTAAGATTAGCATTGTTAGCTTTGTCTGTGTCTTTCTTCAATTACAGCCTCTGCTTTTATGCACAGCTGTACAACCCATCACAACTTCCCTCATTTCCTCCTTGCATTCACTTCTGCTGAAAACATACTTTCTCTCAAGATATCCTCCTGCCATATGTGCTGGTATTTTCACAAAGGATGACAATGCTTTAATTATTTTCAGAAGGAAAGTACTTCTCTAGCTCAACATGCTGAAGGCGGCCAGGGTGGGGAGAGAAAGCACTTTTGAAAAGACTCACGTAGTTACTATGTGTTTATGTGGAGAAGCATGTGTTCAGATCTGGGACACCGGGGGACCTGATTGTCAACAGTTACTCCAAACCTGGACAATGATGGGAGGGTGTGTGTGGGGAAAGAACCACAAAGAATTAGGAAGAATATCTTAGCTTTATCCTTGAAAATATGATGCTTTATGTTTGAAATTCAGAATAGCTTAGCCAGTGTTGGTGAAGAAGGAGATAATAAAATGTAAATGAGTGGAGTTTTTCAGTGTTATGTGTTGGTATTTGCTGAGAAGTTTCTCTTTGTCCATAGGGGATGACTCTGCATAAAAAAGCAGCAGAAGATAGACTGGCTAGTACAGGCTCAGGACAGTCCTTCCTGGCTAGACAAAGGCAAGCCACGAGCACGAGGAGATCTTACCCTGGTCATGTCCAGCCAGCAACAGCAAGGTAGAGAAGCCTTGCCCTTAGAAAGAAAACTGCCCTGTGATCCAGGCCACTTCTGTTGCAAGTGACAACATTCAAGGAAAATCAACCAGCATCCTTTCTCTTTCTCCCTTGTTATTGCTATTATTTTACAGTTCGGGAGAGGGTTTTATAATGGTTTCTCATTGTTCTGTAATGCTCTTTGCTTATATATTTTGCAGTCCATCTCTCGCCCTCTCTCTGCATTTTTTGAATGTGCCAAAGTTTTGAAAACCTCTAGAGGAGTGCAGTATAATAACAGAGTCTTATTTGTATGAAGCTTGGTCTCATACAAAAAGGCTCATATGGGCTGTGTAACAATGTAGATTTCCTGTCACAGTTGATACATTTGTGCCTGTAAGGGTTCTTATGCTTTATAACACTGTCTTTGTTCAAAGGGAATTAGGCTTTTTATTTAATGTGCTAACCTGTTGCTTAAAAAAATGCTGAAAACTCATTACAGAAATGAAAAATTAGTATAGAATATTATTGTGAAATATATTTGCTACTAAAAAACTTACCAATGGCAAAAAGAATGAATTTTTTTTTTAATGTCCTACGTGCAAAGTTTGCGTTTATTCTTGGCATTTAATTGGCATTTAATAGGGAAGCAGGATGATTTTTTTCAGGTTTTTCCTTACCTACTGGTGTTACCTCTTTTGCTGGCAAAGCTGAATATTTTCAAATGATTTGTTCCACTCTTCTTGATCAAGCGTATGCTATATATTATAAAAAGATTAAGAAATATTTAGAATGCTCTAATATGCTACTGAATCATCCATTTAAAAAGGACATTTGTATAAAAATTTTATAATTATGGATGAACAGTACATAATGGATCAAGGCCCTGATTAATATTGTTTATGTTAATGTTTTCCAGTTGTCATCCCCTACTAAAAGACTTGCTTTTAATGTATTGATTCAGGGTATTATTGTATCAGTTGCCTTACTCATGGTACCAGTGCCTTCAGGTGAGTTTGTTGCTGACTTCGTTGGAAACTGGCTGTGATCTGTAGTACTGCCTTCTTAGTGTGTAGCTGGTTAATTGTATGCCACTCATTGTAGCACCTTTATGTTGGTCAGTGGAGTGGATGGTGGCCCCTGTTATTAATTTAGGTTCTGTTTCAGCAAAGTTCTGCTTTTTCCCTGACTAATTCTATGGTCTCCCTATCATTTTTGTCAAAGAATTGACGGACACAGAAGCCCTGAGTATTGGTTGAAACTTTCATATACAGACATCTTATGCTGATTCAGTTTAAAAAATTTTTCATTTAGAGACTGTTTGGACCCTAATGTACATGCAGTCTTGTTTAGGAATTTATTCTTTTACCTTATTTTAATGTCCTCCCAGGTGAAGACATTTTTTCATAAATCCCTTTATAGAAAAGACATACAAGCATTTATTAGTTGTCTGAAGGTCTGTGTTAATTCACAACTTGAGTGGAATGAGCAAAGGACAATTAAAACAAGCACACCGAGATTAAAGGATAAGGAACTGATGAATGACAAGTTTTAGGTACTGTTTTATCCTCAAGTACATCATCTGTTTTAATCTAGGCTAAGAAATGCATTCAGTATGTGTCTGAAAAAATTTGTCAGTTCTGATTTCCTGGCCTCCACCCTCCTATATGAAAACGGATGATAAAGTCTGTTAACTGTGTATAGGTTTGTCTTTTATTCCTCACGTTTGGAAAAAAGTTATTTTCTAAAAATTCTCTTTACTTATTCAACGTATGGCATGTCTGGGCTATGCTTGCAAGATTAGATGAGACGGTGTAAGTATCTTCTGTGCAGAAAGCTAACAATGTAAAGGAAGTTTAGGACAGTTTCTGCAACTCAGTGAGGTGATGCTCATTTTGCTGTCCCTTACAGAATACTAAAGGGGTAAGAAGGCATCTAGCAAGATGACCACAGATCTTATTGTGCAATCTATTCTAGCCATTTGAGGAACTCTTTACCACATGCCATGTGTGAATAAGAGCAAATAAGATCACTGCTCTGAGAGAATTTGATGTTCTGGTTTGAGATTACAGCATTTTAGATTACCCAGAGAAAGAACCTAAGAATACCTAAAGCTCTGTTTTTATTTTAATCTGTCTGTTACCAAACTTCCAAAGCCTATTTGTGAAAGCAAGTAATACCAGGACCTTAGTGGCAAGTTTTATCTTTTAATTTTGTCTAATAATTTAATTACCTGTTGCTATTAAATAGATGCGGGTCTAAAATAACATGAACACAAGCTGCACACTAGAATAAAACTATTTGCTTTTGTTATTTTAACATTTGTTTTATCATTTTGCCTCCAAAGTTTTGATGATAGGCAGGTGGCCCTGACGGTTAGGAGATGAACAAATGCTGATTAGAATCATTGTTTTTTGCTCTTACTGAACTGTCTCACATGGCTTCTTTTGCTTCTTGATCGTTATTGACTTTTATCTTCTGCTTTGTGGTTCTGGTCAGTCTTTCTTTTTTCTTGAGATAGGACACCGAAATGTTTACTCTAGTTCCCTTCAAGAATATACGGCATCGTTATGTAGCATCAAAGAGCAAAACTAATACTGAGCCTGTGCTTTACTGTTGCTCATAGTAATTTTTAGGCAAGATTGAACAAGCGTTTTGTCTTCTGAGAATTCACAAACTTGTAGAAATTCCAGTCTTTCCAAGAATCTGTGTTGAATATAGAAATCTAAAAACATGCTGCAATCTTACAGAAATATACTCTGTTGCTGTCCAGTTCCAATAAGTCATTTGTTCTATCTTCTAATGATAATCATCAGGAATTTAATTCTTTGTTCTTCAGCATTTTACTTCTGTTAATTGCTTCACACATCAATTCTTAATCTCAGAGTGTGGGTGAATGCAGGTGGGTGGCAGAGATCATTAAACCTTCTCTCTCACAAGAACAGCTCCTTTATTGAAAGGGTTCAGCTTCATTATTTTCCATACTTGTTGTGTAGCTTTGGAGGTAGTATGGTATTAAGAAGGGGCTCAAAGTGTGACTTCAGGGAATAAGCACATGTATAGATGAGCTTCCATGAGAGTACATTCCTAGACACTGTGCCAAGGATCTGCGCAGAATAATCTTTCTGAGATATTTTAATTAATGCCAATAAAAGACAACAGGTAAATGGACGAATATTTTCATTGTTCAGAGCTGAAGCTTAGTTTCTGGTCTTAAAGAATGTGTGTGCTATCCAGTTCATGTACTGCTATGGAGACTTAAGTTGTTAGCATAAGTGATCAGACATTACAGAAAAGAATATTCAAGTTCCCCATTTTCTTGATAGCAACATGTAACCACTTGGATCATAACATGTATTTTCCAGGTATTGCGAAAACTGAAGTAATCTAATTTAAAGGTTGTGTGTTCCACCCACAGTGCAAAAGAGAATAAACTGCTAGAGCACACAGCTGTTTATATTGTAAGATAAAATAAATATATAATGGCTACAAGATGCTTTTCATAATCTCTTTGGAAATAAGCAAATGGTAATCTTGTCTTGATCTGATGTCACTTGAGATATCAGCAATGCTTCTGCAAGTTTTCTGTGGCTTTCCATTCGTGTAAGGCGCACTGGCAATTTTATATTCATTGTGTATGAAAGAATTAACAGTGAATATTCCTATTACTGCTTTGTGGTGATCTTAAATAGTAATTGGTATGTGCAAGCTGTCAAGAAAATTTAAGAGGATTTGGCAATTCTAAAATCCTTGGTATTTTGACATGTGTGAGCATCTTTTGCTTTTCCTCGCTTCTCTAGTATAAGAGACTATCCACTTAGCAGCTTCCTGAATGATTTTTAGTGGGTTTAATTGTCTTGATGTGTTGACATTTTCCATAGATTCAGTAATTGGAAAATATTTTAAGTTCACCACTTGATTTTCTTCTAGTTAGGGATTTGGAGGAAGACTGTCCTGAGTGTGGCTAATTTTTCTTTTTCTTAGGAAACAAAACAGTACCTGAATTTTACTCATTTTATAGAGATTTTTATTCTTGTCCAACATTTTGAATTTTTGCAAGGATTGATGAGAGAGGTATTTTTGCACTCAAAGTCAGCTATGCAATACTGACTTCTGAAGGGGTTTTGCACATATGTTTTAGGTAGAATGTGGACTCTGTGTTTTGCAGTAATGTTGTAGTAATAAACTTTGATGTCTCCAAACCAAGTTTAGCAAATTCTGCAGGCATTTTCCTACCAATGTTGTGCAAATAAATAGCTAAAAGAGGTTACTCTGTCAGGAAATACTTTCAAGTGGTGTGTTTTCGTGTAAGCCTAGTAGTCATACTTCAGGGGTGTCACCTCCAGAGTAGTTCAATAGCTGGATTATGACTGAAATGTCATCTCAGGAAATCAAGCATTCAGAAAGAAGTCTTTTCAGAAGCCCTATCTTAGGGCAACTGTATTAGCTGGTAGTATGATACATTTAGCATTCTATTAACATGAAGAGGTGAATTGTTGTAAAAATTTAAATGTAAAGATCAGGTAAGCTAGAAATACAGTGAATGAGGCTTTGAACCTTATAAACTGCATACAGCTCAGACACATGTCCCCTCCCAAAATTTGAGCAGTCCAGCTCCCATCTGAATTGGCAAAAGCACTGGGTTTCAACTTTCTGCCTTGAACTGGGAGCAGTGAAATCTGCATTATCTCATAGGTTGGTGCAGGAGCAAGCAACGAACCTCAGCTGCGCTCAGAACATCTCCGCAAGCCAGATCGTATTACTGACTTGTGGCAGATGTCAGATTCTGGGTAGAATACTAGCCATACCTCCAGTTTGTCACTTTCAAGGAATCAAGAAAATGTCCTGGCATGACTGACTGCATTGCCTCGCTCCTGTAATCTTTCTTCCCTCTGGAAGTCCAGAAAAGGAGCAGCAGCTTGTCAGCAGCTCTGCAGGCTGTACGTAAAAATAAGGGGTGATTTCTTCAGTCTGAAGGTGGAGGAGATGGATGCGAGCAACTACTAAGTACAAAAATCTGAAAAGCAGTATATCTTTCGCCATTTTGCTTTTTGGTGTTAGTTTAAAAATGATGAAACAGTACCCAAGCTTTTGGGGGGGGTTGGGAAGGGGGGTTATTTATTAATTTTGAATTGCAGTTGACCAAGTATTAAAGGCTGTACCTATGTGAATTAAGGCAGAAGCTGTCATTA